GTGCGGCCGAAGGCCGCCTACGCAGAAAGGTGTTCTCTGCAAAAGGTATTCAGCCCCCTTTCTTTGGCAACACAGAAGAGAATTCTACGTAGTGAGGGTTATAATCCCTAAGTGCGGCCGAAGGCCGCCTACGCAAAAAGAAGTTCTGCGCTAAAATACTATCATATTACTATTACTACAACATTTCTATCTGTCGCTTTTTTCTTGATTTCACAATATTTTTAGTTAAGGTTTGTTTCCTTAATTTTTTTTAGTTAATTTTTTTTTCAAATCGCCTGATAACCAACTTGGGATAATATCTTTTATTTAAAAATCCAACGGTTTTCGTTAGTTTGGTTATATTCCACTTCAAACTGCTCAGTTGCCTCGGAAAATGCCGTTTTTACCCCATTTTCAAACGGTTCCCTAGAGGTCTGTGGGAAGTCCCCAAGGGGGTGGGGCTTTTCGTAAAGTGGCGACTGCCCCCTTTCGAATGAGGGGGGTTTGGGGGGCCACGCCCCTCCCCCTCCGCCCCCCACCCCAAAAACGATGGGCCAATAACTAAACGTTTCCCCTTAAAATACAATCGATTTTATAATTCCAATGGAAAAATAGTACCGATTTTTTTTTGTATGGGGAGTGATGCAGTGTAATGTACATATGTATAAGCACTCTATTTAGTTTGCTCGATCTGTAAACAAAGCTTCCCAGCGGTGAAAAATATACTATTGTGAACAACCTAAACGAGCGAAATTCACAATAGCGCTATTCTTCATCGAATGAGGGCCATAATACCAAATGAAGATTCGTTCCGATTAGCACTTTCGACCACAGTCGAAGATCGAATGCAACTCATAATAAGGGCCATAATCACTTTTTTAAAGGCAGAAAAGGCAAAAAGGCAACATCCAATGTATATATATGGAATCAGGGGAAGCTAAATCGTGGACTTTCTTAATCGAATATATATCTCTTCAGCAGAAAAAAATGCAATTTCCATAAAATCCGTTCCCTGATCATCGCTAACACATACTTTACGATCTCCATTAATTACTACACCTCGACAAGCCATCCCGAGCTATGTCGACCCCATCGAGTTGCTTAAAAACCAACCTATAGCAATGTACATCTAATATATAATTTTCTCAAAGAGGTAGACCTCAGACGAATATAACACATAATAGTATAAAGCGGAGATGGCAAAAGCATTTTGCACTTAGGAGCCGGTTGGCACATTTAGGTGCTAGATGATGGGAACATCAAGAGCCAGCATGAAGGGGGAAGAGCATATTAAAGATTTTTGTACTCTGACTCTCATCACTAATATAAATGATGCTTTCGATGTATTTTTTACACGCCCTTTACCCTGAGAACATATTTAACTCTTACGTAGCTCTTGCTGGCTCTTTGACTGCTTTAAGGGCCGAAAATCTGCCCATTCCTGGAATAAAGCAAAATGCAAAGATAGATATTTTCATTCGAATAAGATGCAAAGGACAGCTGAGGGACTTCGTCGCCAGTGCTGCGAATCGTAATGTATTTGTAGAATATTTATTTATTGTACAAATATAGTAAAAAAAAAATATATAAAATAAAATAAATATTTTGATTACCTCGATCGCTATCAGTTCTGCTGCTAATCCTTTGCAATCCACATTTTCAAAATGTTCGTCTACAGCAATAACTGGTTTTCTGGGATCTGATCCAGCACGAAGTCCCTTAGGATAACCACGTATGCTTGTATTTAAATACAAAATATTGGACTTCTTCTCCAATATCACAAACCTTAAAATGTATATATATGTATGTCACATGCATAAGTACGAATTAAAACATTTTCATACTTTGGAAAAAGTTGAAGAATGCAACTACCTTCCCCTCCCGTATACAAATGCGTTTCTTTCCATTCAGTTGGCGAGGCAATGCAATAAGTCTGGTCGTCCTTGGTGTGTATTAAAACAAGTGTTGGTCCGCGGTAGCCAAGAACATGGTGCAGAAACCGATTAGCACCCAACCCATGTTCATTCGAGTCATATAATAAAGCCCAATGTGATGGCATCATGGAAAGTTTATCTTTGAAAATTTGCGCTGCAGATGACTTATTAGCGTTTGGAGATTGGATGGTCTGCGGTTTGGAGTAAAGTGGTGGAAGGGCGCCTGCCAATAGCCACGCTTGTGATAATGGCATTAAGGACTCGTATTTTGAATTACCAGTATCTCTGCCGGCTGCATCAGGAAATGGATTACGTTGTTCCAACACTGGTGTTTGTAGTTCAATGCCGCATGATTGATTATGTTGTTCAAGACCTCTATAAGCAGTTGACAATGTATGTACACAATATTTATGCACCAACGCGACCAAACGAATAAGATTCTGTTCAAACCAACGACAAACAAAGCCTACACTTAGATTGTCGTGGCTAAAAAATATTGATTTGGTCACCGAACCGAAGGTTCGATTGATCTGCAATAAAAAATATAAACAAATTATGCTCAGAGAAATTTTCCCTACAGGAATTTCCTTACCGCTGGGCATAATATTGCGTTGCCGGAGTGTTGCATAGCTATAGTATAGCACGTGAAAAGTAAGCGGGTCACTCCTTCTTTAGTAATAAAATCTGGATTGTCCTCTTCTGCAAACATTTTTATATAACATTCCAAAGTTTTGTCATCATCCATTATGCCAAGAAATCGTTCGCATTGTTGGCGGAATGCTACAGTACCAAGATAGGCAGTTGTAGCTTTCGATGCTGAATGCATTAGTCGAAAAAGTCGTTTACCTAAATCAGCATATTGAGGAAATACTTGCGACTGTGAAAGAAACACAAATCAGTATTTTTGCCATCGTCATAAAATGTATGATATGCACTCACCACAAATACGTCCGCAACTATGCCATTGACACTATGCTTGGCTGATTTCTCCTTAAGTATTTCGGATAACTTTTCAATTGGTACGAATTGTGTCAAATACTTCTCCGTAACATCCGCGCCTGATGCAGATCTACTCATAGATTTCTCCGCTTTCAAGAAAGCATGGTTGCTTGCTGTGGAAGACCCATCAACAATAGGAAGGGTAGGGGTTGATTTAAGGTGTTTTTCCTTGGCACCACCTGACCCTGCGTTAGTGCCGTCGCTGCAAGAGTCACTTCTAAAGTTTGAGTTTCCCATTGGACAACGTATTTATTTGCCGAATAGACCATTCACAGCTCAAGAAACAAAAATATTTCGAAATTCCCAATATCTGAACGAAAATAAGAAAAGACTGTCGATTCGAAGACAATAGCCAAGGCGTATTGAACAAGGTGGTGTTGGCCGTATATAAGTAAAAAATTACACTAACAAATTATACCCTGATGTCCATACTGTCATTGGCATGATTCAATAATACAAGGTTCGATAAACGGACAGTTGTCTCTCTCGCACCGCTCCCTTAGCAGTGGCACCTTGTTGCTTCTTTGCAAATTTACTTGGAAAAGTGTAGCTTTGGTGTGAAATTGAAGTATAAGCTTTTTCTTTTTGTTTCTTTTGTTTACTTTTTACCGCTCTTCTTCTGCCATTGTTTACTATTCACGGTGCCCTATCAAACGTCAAAATTACTGGCCTACTACTATTTCAAGCAGAAGAAAGAACACGAACATTTTCTTGTGCATTTTCTTAAGAGCTGGATACAGCTGTATCCTGTATGCAGCTCTCAAGAAAACGGTCAAGAAAAAATTGCCATTATTTCGTATGTGTGTCCAAGGAATTTTGACATTTTTGATACTTCACAGCCTGTTGCCGCACTCTTTCCTCAAGAAATAATTGAACGGGCATATATTTCTGTTGCAAACCAGGGTTGCCAGTGCTCTTTTTTCACAAAAAACTTTTGAAAACCGTACTAGAAAGCGTAGTAAATTTCTTAAGAAAGTAAAAATAAGCTTTTTATTTTATAATAATAATAATATAATAATAATAATAAAGGACTGTATGCGGCTCTCAAGAAAAGCAAAAACTCCATATAAAATGACGTACAAGAAATGGCTAAGAAATTTTCTTGAGTCAAATTTCCTTAAGGCAGTACGCAGTTCTTAAGGAATTTGCTACGCTTTCTACTACGGTTTTCAAAAGGTTTTTGTGAAAAAAGAGCACAAGGCAACCCAGGTTTGCAACAGAAATATATGCCCGTTCCATTATTTCTTGAGGAAAGAGTGAGGCAACAGGCTGTGAGGTATCAAAAATGTCAAAATTCCTTGGACACACACTCGAAATAATGGAAATTTTTTCTTGACCGTTTTCTTGAGAGCTGCATACAGGGCTGAAACCATGAACCAAAAAGACAAGATCACGCGGGCAGGAGGGTAGCCCGTTAGAAACGCATTTAGGAAAAAAGTTGAACGATTTTGACATTAGCCGTTTGTTTACATTTCTTCGTTGTTTACAATTTCGTGGTGGCTTTTTACTGCAATTTTCTTCATTTTCGCTTGTGACAACGTGTGTACCCATAAGATAAAGAATAATTTAACACAACGGCATGATTTATAGAAGAATTTGCATAATAAATTTTTATTTTTCATGCGTTCAACAATTTCGCGGTTTTCTCCGTTCTCTTCGTTGTTTACTTCTTATAACAAAGATGGCGTCGAGATTTCGGCAGCTAGAAAATAACTTTTTTCGTTCTTTCCTTCCCGCGTGATCTTGTGTCTTTCGTTCATGCATGGAAACAGTGTAGCTTTGGTGTGAAATAGAAGTATAAGCTTTTGTGCAATATGTTTATTTGTATATACATATGAAGCATATTTAACTGATGAAAACATTAACTGCTTTTAAATTGGATGTTTACATCAATCTCATAGTAGTCTTATTTTAATTTTGAGTCATTTCGCAGTTTTTATACAACTGAATAGCACATAAATTACGTAATTCACGTAGATATATCAATATTACGTTCAACATTTCGATTAAAATGCCAGATTTCCTGCAAATACTTTAGAATTTACTAAAGGAATTTCACTACTACTTGCCTACTTTGCGTACTTTTCTACTACCATTTTCGCACCAAGAGATTTCATTCTTCCCCTTTCTCCGTCATTCGTAAATGCAAACTTTTGTAAGGGAGTGTCAAACCGCAGCTGTCTATAATTATCTAACCTTAGCTTTGTTTCTTAACAGATAATTATCACAAATTATCACTAATTTCTGCTGGAAAGCGTTTCTTAACCCAAAAAACTGGCAGAAACTAGCAGCTCTCTCTCGATCTTACGCTCTTCTTTTTTTGGCTCTCCTGCTAATTTCTGCTAGTAAAATTTTTACTAGCAGAAACTAGCAGCTGTCAAAATGGATAAACAAAAATTCGCGCCAAATATTTTTAATAGTCAAATACACCGATCAGCTGATTACTTGCTAGTTTCTGCTAGTTTTGCGTTTCTTTACTTTTTCGTTATTTCGCTCTCTGTGAGCGTAATTCTTTCAATTTTCTCATTCTTCTTCTTCCTGATAATTATCTGCTAGAAAAGAAAAGAAACAAAGTCCTTGTATTATTGAATCATGTGTCATTGGTATGAGTTACAACAAACACATCATTTTGACGTATTGGCCTCCACGGCGAAAAACTCAGCTGTCCCCCAACACCACCTTGTTTAATACATCTTGTCAATAGCCCTGTAGCTCGCTTCTGTAACAATTCTCTACCAAGGCGAATTGAGATATGAATTCGCCGGCCTGGTCTCTACTGCTAATAACATGTTCTGACCGACATAGAAAACATGTTTTCGTTGCTAAAACTAGTTTTCGACCTAAAACATGTGTTCTTTGCGTCAATGTAAAATCTGTCAAACGAAAACAAGTTTTCGCTGAAAACTACTTGAAAACTCACGTTCCACTCGTTCCAATAGGTGTCTTCACTAGTTTTTTTTCTACTATTTATCGAAGTGTAAGTCATATTTTATCATTTTTAATACGCTATTTCGTATTTATTGTTAATTGGCTGGCCAAAGTAAAATAAGAATGAAAGTAAGAGGTTGCTAATGAAAAGAAAATGTGGGAAAAGCATTTAGTTTTGTTTTTGTGTAGCAAAACTGCAATGAGAGGATATAAGAAATGTCAATGAAAACACTAAAAGCCGGTGTGAACAGCCTTCAGCCCACAATTCCAAAACTCAATTTCAAAGTATTTTCCAAGGCGTATTTAACAGGTGATAGCAGCGCCCTTTTATTTTTCTTCGCCTCACGGCTTCGTATCTCAAATGGCTGCTGGTGATTGGTTGGAGCAGTTGATTGTTTATTGTTCTCTTCCACATCATTCCTATGAAATTTTTGACAGTCCTCGCCGCAAAAGCAAAAACAAAATACATGTACATGTTGTTGTTGGCGTACCGATACCACCTTAGTGAATACGCCTTGGTGTTTTCGTTGTCGGTCAGAACATGGTATAACAAGGTGTATTAAACAAGGTAGTGTTGGGGCGACACCTGAGTTTTTCGCCGTGGCAGCCATTACGTCAAAATGATGTGTTTGTTGTAACTCATACCAATGACAGTATGGACATCAGCGTATAATTTGTTAGTGTAATTTTTTACTTATATACGGCCAACACCACCTTGTTAAATACGCCTTGACTGCTAATTAGTAGGTGAGAGTGGCATATTTTCTCTACCAGTAGAGAAATAATCGGTAGAAAAAAGTTACAGAAACGGGCTACTTACTGTTCGCGTACTACTATCCAGTAAATCCAGTACTAATTTCATGGATAACTAGATATGAAACTCTCTCATTTTTTCTGAGAGCGCGCCCAGGAACTCGTTTTCTTACTTAAGTGGCGAGCTACCACTAGATGTGTGAAAAATGCATCACATTGATTTCAGTGGATTTCTTCCCCCGTTTTTTAATATTACTATCAAACAGTGTTTGTAACTAAACGCGATTTTACTGGAAATATAAACACTGAAATATAAAATAGATATGAAGAATATTGCAACTTTTGTTCTTTGTGTTTAATCAAAAGTTTCTCCATAAATTTCTTTATAAATGCCCATACATGTTTTCGTCACAGTGGCTCTACTGGAGAATGTTATAAAAAATACACACTTTGACAGCGCTCTCACGAGAAAAAGAGTTTCATATCTAGTTATCCATGCTCATTTTACTGGTTTTTTACTGGATGTCGTTTTCGTACGCAAAAACTTGCAAGAAACTAGCAAAAGAGGGGAAATTGAGAGAGCAAATATGACAGCTGAAATTGCAAGTTTTACTGGATTTTTACTGGATACATTTTTATTAGCAACTATTTGCTAGTAAGAAAAACAGCTGATGGCATGATGGTTATTGTAAATCACATTAAGGTTGGTGTTATGAAGAAATTTTGTTTGGCAAACTGCGTGCAATTGTTGCAGCAAACTCGGAGAGAGCGAGTTTGGCGACTCTGACAGCAAACTAATTTTGTTTGGTCAAACTGCAGCAAATTCGGTGTTGTCATATACAAAAATTTTAAATTGTGCGCGTTATGTATATCTGAAATTCTCTTTTCGTGTTGGCAATAGCCATGAAAACCATAATGACCGTGCAACCCTGTGCCAAACTCGACATAACCACCTCCGAGCAAACTAAGCAGCCGCCGACCTAAGAAAATAATTAGTTGTGTTTTCGTATTCTCCAGCAAAAAATATCCAGTAACTTGCCAGTAACCAAATTTCGGAGAGTAAGCCAATATTTACTTCCAATGAGTGAAATATGCAAGAAAGTACGAAAACGCAAAACCAGCAAGAAGTTGCTAGTTTTATGAACAGCTGATTAATTTGTTATTTTCCGATGCAATTTTCTTAGAAAACTAGTGTTTTCCATCTTATTATATATTTAAATAGGTTTATTTTGTCAATTGCAACTCTAAAAGCACCACAAACAATTATTTTCTTAATGTGATTTACAATAAGCATCATGCCATCAGTTGTTTTTCTTACTAGCAAATAGTTGCTAGTAAAAATTTATCCAGTAAAAATCCAGTAAAACTTGCAAGTTCAGCTGTCATTTTTGCTCTCTCAATTTCTTCTCTTTTGCTAGTTTCTTGCAAGTTTTTGGGTACGAAAACGACATCGAGTAAAAAACCAGTAAAATTAGTACTGGATTTACTGGATAGTGCGTACGCGAACAGGGCTATTGTTTGTGGTGCTTTTAGAGTTGCAATTGACAAAATAAACC